TAATCCTTGCTCTAGAATTTCGTAAAAATATGTTTAAAATAGATGTTAAAGAGTAGAGTAATTATCAGGTGTTTGTAAACCCCTCTCAGAGGTGTGAGCAATGATACTACCTCCAGTTTCCGGGGTGAACACATTTGACAAACTAGGCAATATGGTGATCACCACTCCTCACCAGTCTGTTTGAGGTTCATTTCAGACCTTCTGCCTTCCACAATGACCCAATCACAATAGAACTTTTTGAGGACACTTAGATATACCTACAACACTCCTCATCCCTCAATATCACAAAAAGTGAACTTCTGTATCTCCCCCAATTATTATCCAAGACCTGTAGAACTTTTCAGTCAATCTCACCCAGTGCCCTACTCACTATTTACAATCACATAGCATGGTATAGACTCACTTTTAATATAATATAAGCACCCCTTCCTCCTCCCCCTGAAAAGCCAGAAATGCGCCCTCCATTTCCCATTCCCCAGGCTACTTATGTGAGCTGTAACATATATACATGTTATATAGGTACCTCAATGCAAGAATACAGGAGTTAATAATGCCAAATGCACTTGCAGTGGCCAATTTCGGGTTTTCTACCTATAATCACCTTGTTTTCCCCATGGGATGCCCAATTCATCACCAATCTTCAAGAAAAAACATGTCCCAGAATCGGAACAATCTCCTCTTAAAATTCTGACACCTCCGAGACGACCAATGTGACACCTTAGATAACATAAAAATCGAACTGATTGCCACTTTTAAGGAGATCAAGGATATATATAATTAATCAGACAATGCAGAGACATTCTACTGACTACTTCTAAGTGTCCTCAAAAAGTTCTATTGTGATTGGGTCATTGTGGAAGGCAGAAGGTCTGAAATGAACCTCAAACAGACTGGTGAGGAGTGGTGATCACCATATTGCCTAGTTTGTCAAATGTGTTCACCCCGGAAACTGGAGGTAGTATCATTGCTCACACCTCTGAGAGGGGTTTACAAACACCTGATAATTACTCTACTCTTTAACATCTATTTTAAACATATTTTTACGAAATTCTAGAGCAAGGATTATACCTCCAATCCGAGGTAGAATCTTGGAGAGGGCAATTGAGAAGGCAGAAGGACAGTTGCATGAATAAAATATTCAGTTCTTATTCAACTTGCATCGGACTTTTTCTATATCACTCTAACAGTAGTATAGTAGGTATTCCGAGCTATCCGATGAGATTTTGGGCACTAGAGGATATGCCAGAAGGATGCCATGTCCACCATCAACATTGTGGGAACCCCCCAGGCAAGAAGGAGGAAGTGTCTTTGGTCATGGAATTGGGGTGTTTCTACACAGTCTTGAGGGCAGAAAAAGAAGGGAGGGTGCTAGGATAGTGTTCAGATTATGTTGGAGTGACAGGAATAACCCCAGCTTTGCTTGAAGGGATATAAGAGTGCACATTTTCGATTTTTCTGGTATCTTGTGAAGTGTTGTAGGTATATCTTTGGAACAAATGAACGCGTGGAGACGCTGAATAGCGCGTTTTGTAGCCTTTATCAACCTCTATCTGAACGCATAATTTTTGGAAAGGATAGATACATGTATGGCATAGAGATTTGAGTGCGATTTTTCGGGTTTTTAGTACATAAACATCGAAAGGCCCATTGCATAACCAATAATGCATGCAAGGCCATTATTATTGGCTCGCTCTGAAGATCTAGTAGCATACTAAATTATTGGCTGGTTTTTATGAGGCAGGGATGCATGAGAAGCAGAGCATTAGGTGCGCATTTTCGCATTTTTGTGCATAGAAGCACAGTTTAGGCCATAACATCGCCAAAAATGGTCGTATTCACACGTTCTGGGTGTCTACAGGTAGCTATGAATTCCCTAAAAATTATCGCGTCATCGTTCCCATCAATTTCCACCCAGGGGGAAGCCAAACGAGCCCGAAATGCGCCAGCAATGGCTATTTTGATGCCAGATCCCAATTTAGCAGCTTGTGCTAAAAATAAACACGCACCAAGTTAAGGTGACACCTCATACGTGCCGTTTCGCAACATTCCACATCCCAGATTCTCCTGATTTTTTTATGACATACAGTAACATAATGGCCCTGGGCACTTTTTTCACAAAAAACGGCCCCAGTTGAGGCTGCAGAGCAAACAGGTCACATGACCAGTTCTCTGCAGTGCCCCGGGGTCCTGCTTGGCCTATCCCACCCATTCCGCACC